GAGCCGAAACTTCACCACCCTTTGATAGGCACATTCATTCTCCCCTCATCTCGAAGCGGCAGTCCTCCTCCTCTTCCCATCCAAGGCCAATCCATCTGCTGGGTTCCAGATCCTCTGGGAAGTCTCCAGTCACTTTTCTTTCCTCATTCTTTATTAGACCATTCACTTCAGGTTATAAATATGATCATATTCCTCTTAAACTTAAAAATAAAGTACAATCAACCCTAACCGAGTCAACTCCCAATTCCTCCACCTCCAAATTCCTTTCCAGCCACCCAAGTGTTCTCTTGCTTTCAACAACAAAATTCTGGAAAAACCGCTGGCCTCCCTCCCTGTTTCCATTAATTTCTCAATTCACTGCACTCTTGCTTTGGCTCTCATAACTGCTGAAATTGCTTTGGCGAAAGTTACCAATGACTATTTTGTTCTCTTTAAGTTTGTGATTTAAAAAAAACCCTAGTTATTTGAATTCAAAAATAACGGCCCTCATAGTATTTCAAATAATAAAGAGTCTAAAGTAGAATTAAGTGTCTCTCTCTTATAAGAACACTCCTGAGGGTCCACGCTTAACAATTTTACATTTATCATTCATATTTTTTGCATTGCTCATCCAAATCCAAAATGGACACATATTTAACGGAATAAGATTTCTCTTTTTCTCTTCTTTTTTTCCCTTCTCCCTCCCTTCATTCCTTCTTTTCTTCTAAACAAAATTTCCATCACAATATACATGTTATTCTCTAACTTGCTTTTCAGTTAACAATATCTCAAGTCTACACTTCTAAATCAATAGACATAAATCTATATAATTCTTTTTAACAGCTGTATAATATTCCACAATGTGGATACGCCATTGTTTATTTGACTGATTCCTATTGAAGTCCATTCAGGTTCTTTTGATTAGGTTGAACCATACAAAACTGCCGTATATGTAGGCATTTAAAAAAATTTTTATTATTAGTTTCGAGTGTACAGTACACTGGTTAGATAGTTGTAGGCATGTTTTTTGTTGTGTTTACTTCCCATTACAAACAATATAATAATAAATACCCATATGTACATATGTCCATAAAGTTTTGTTTTTGTGGATAAATTCCAAGATGTGAGATTCTTTTTAAAAAGGCATGTATATTTTACTCATTGGAAGTGGATTGCTTTCCTCAAATGTTGATTTAATGTATGGTCCCCTCGAAGACCTTTTGGGAAGTTATAAGTCACGATGGCCTCTTTTCAATGCTTCTCTTAGCAAACTTCTCCACAGCACACTGTATTTGTCATTACTGACCATGCCTCCTTGCATGGTGGCACTCGAAACCAGTTTTCCACCTGCCTCATTTTGGTTTCTTTCCATAGCTTTCCTTCTGTTTGTTCCTAGATACTTGTATACCACATGGTTCTGCCATGGTTCCCTTTTCTATTTACATTAAATCTCCATTCTCGCTTTGGGTATGTTTATGGTTTCCAGTGTGGTCTCGAGCTACCTTCTGCCCACCAATCACGTGACCAAAAAATGATTTCACCTGAATTAGAACAAGGTTTCCTTTCCTGAAGAAAGCTTACTGTCATTGTGCAGAAAATTGTGGTAATAACCATTCAATCACTATTCAATATTCGACAATGTGTCCCCTGGGTTGTGTGGTATATGAGCTCCACAATCATCACTGGTAGCTGTGTTTTCCATTCATCTCCTGAGTTCAAACTTCTATATTAATACTGTCTACTGAATATCTCCAGCTGGATGTTTTATAGACACCACCAATTTAAAGACCCATTTTTTGACTTATCATCACCCCCTCTTGAAATACTCCTTATGCATTTCTTAGTAAATGAGACTCCCATTCACTGGGGTACATAACTTAGAAATCTGGAAATTCATCTTCTCTCCTCTCTCTCTCTCTCAATTCTCATCTGATAGATTACTAAGTCCTGCTGTTTTAATTTCATATTCCTGAAATCCATTATTTCTTTTTGGTCCCCAGTGCTGCTGTCTTCACAATCCTTTTTCATGGACTAAAAATAACTTCTCACTGGTCTTCCAAGTTTGTGCCTTGCCTCCCTTGTATTATCCACACTGCTGCTAGGGAACTAATTCAACATGTAAATCAGTGAGAAAAATCATTTATTGCCCATACTATCAAGAGGTTCAAATCTGAACTTCTTAGCATGACTTAATAAAACTATTATCCAATACCTACTTAATGGTCTTGACTCATTTTCTGATATTCTTTAAAACCAACCTGCGCTTCAGCTATATGGGTCTACTTTCAAATTGCTAACATGCCGAGAGGTCAATCATAATTCAGTGCCTTTGCACCTGCTATCCTTCTGCTTGGAATTTCTTGTCAGTCTTGCTGGCTCGACAAACTCCGACTTATATTTCAAGCCTCAGCTCTAGCGTTTTTTTCCTTTCTTTAAATTCTTCAGACTTAACTGCTTCTGCACTTGAGTTTCTTGTTAATATGGTACATTCCTGCACCATAGCAATTTTAACATTTAATTATTTATTTTATTAATTAGTATTTCCAAACTAGGTTGTAAGCTCCTTGAGGGTAGGGACTATGATTAATCTCATCTTTGTATATCCAACACTTAACGCAGTGACTGGCATCGAATATTTAATAAGCACTTGAATGATGGGAAAACAAACTAGTTAAGTAATGAGAATAGTGTCCAAGCTAGGGCTTAAGCTTAAGACAGAGATTTTCACTTAAGTACCTTTAGAAATTTTGTAAAAAAATATAAAGTATTAAAGGAAATTTAAGAACATAAAAGTAAAGTAAATCTCATTTTATTTCACCATCCTAATGCTTGTTTTAGTGAATTTACTTTGTCTTTGCTCAGATATGATATATATATTTATATATCTATATATGTGATAAATATGTAACATGTATATTTATGTGTATGTATTTATACTTCACATAGTTAATAATTAAAAAATACATGTACTTTTACATGCTTTTAAGTTTACCTAACTATAAACATTTTCAACACTGTTGTGTAGTCCTCCAAATTATTATTTTTCAGCATTGTATCTCATCCCCTTAGATTGATAGCTACAGACTTAGGCTGTACTCAGTTTTCTATTATAAAAAGGAACAGATACCAGTTTTGTGGGATGTTTAAAGAAAAAGAATACAAAATCATCTTACTTATGCAAATAGGCCCATGTGACCACATTTTTAGGGTCCCTCCCTGGGCTCTGGAAGCTGCTTGGGAAAATGAGAGGTCCTGAAGTTTAAGTTTCATTAGCTTCATGGCTATCTACCTCCAATTATAAATAATTTTGCAACAAATATTTTGAGCATGTAATTTTTGTCTCTTTTCCATTATTTCCCAAGATACCAAGTTATTATGACACTATTCACCTTGAAGGAATTGAGAAAGGAAATTGTCATTTATTGAGCACCTATTATATATTGAACAGTTTACATGTATTATTTAATTTAATCCCTCTTACAAGCCCAAAGGAAGCATTATCCCCATTTTACAGAGGAGAAAACTGAGGTGCAGTGCATTTAAATATCATACTCAAAGTAGAAATCTAGTAACGGTAGGGTTTGGATCCTCACCCATATCTCATTCCAAAGTTCATGCCTTCATCACTGACAACACGATGTCTCCACAGCCTCAGTAGCTTCATAGTAATGCATACAGTAATGCATTCCCACAGGAAAAACCTGATTCTCAGTTATGTGTTTTGAGAAGTCCAGCATACAAAACTTGCAGGGCACTGACATGGTTTTTGGAATAAGGTAATTTAAATCAATGGTGGCTAGTCTTTCTCAGGAATTTAGGAGAAAGTGATTTGGCTGTTTCTGCCTTTCTACTTGCTTACAGACATGCATTTAGGGTGCATTTCTTGGAAGGTGGAAAGTGAAGTTAGAAGTCCTGGCTTGTTTTTGGGTCCTGCTATTCAGTATTTGAGTAGCCTCGGGTAAGTCATTGAACTCCTCAGGTTCTCTTTTTCCTCCTCGGTGCAATGAGGCTGAGTAACAAAACCTGCCTTACCCCAGGGTAGTTTTGAATGTCAAATCTGATAATGTGTATGCAAGTACTTAGTGATCTCCAATACTACTGAGATACTAGTAACGTTGCTGGAGTAGCTCCACTTGACCATCCATGTGCCACCCGCTGGCAGAATGGACTTGACGGCTCCATTACTGGAGTGCCCTCCTAGACTTCAGCAGCCTAATTTCAGGGGGCCGTCTGGGCCACTGCTGTTGAATACCCAGTGCAGCAGGAGCAGTAGAGGCTGGGCAAAATAAGTCCGAGATTCTGGGGAATCCTTTTCTCCTTATGCTGAGGATTTATCACCAAAACATGCCAAACATTCATTATTAAACGCAACTTGTAAACTCCCCAATACAGTCCCGTCCGATTGTCCCATTGCTCTGTCTTAGGTGCTGACGCATTTATATTGGAATTTTATCTTCCAGTTTAGAAATTTTTAGGTCTGTAGGATTTAATTCGGGGGGAAGTCTGTAGTTCCGGGATGCCAGGAGAAAATAAACATCTCGGTTTGAGTTGGCGTTTAAACATCCTTCACCAGATTCACGGTTAAAGTTGGTGTTAAGTAGCATTGGTTTTTCCTTAAACAAATACTTAAACCAATTTCCAATCCTGAAGATTGAGCTCATCACCCCGTGTCAGAATTCGCGTGGTTCCCTAAGCGTGAGCCTGCAGCTCAGCCGCCTCCGGCCTGCCGCGCCCCCATAACCCCGGCCCAGGTGGCAGCCGGCGTAGACCCTCAACTCCACCTGGCTGGGCCAGTAGCAGCGGCACAAAGAGCGGAGAAGGCGGCGGCCCGGCCGAGCCGCAGAAAGTAGTCCCGGCCACGCCGGCACCAATGTTGTTCGATGTTGCTTCACGCCCTCCG